TAGAGGTCAAATATGACATATTTATTAGCTCACCAATCACACTAGGTTTCTCCCAGACCACAAGGGGCTAAGCCTGTAGTACTCTGTCAGCAAGACGGACAGTTGGACAAGCAGTCGTGAACTTGGAAATGAGCTGAAAAGGATCCAAAGTGGCTCTTGGTACGGGCTATGTAAGAAACGTGACTTGAAGAATTTGAATCACTCTCCAGGTGAGCCCCCAATAAACTCATTCTGTCTCATTCAAAATATTTTAAGAAAAAGATGTTTATATCCTAAATCATCTGAATAATTGCTTCAAATGTCTATCATTAAAAAAATAGTTGCAACCTATTTTCTTAGGTTTTCATTGAATTAGTATCTTCAAAGTTCCCATAAATGACATTTTTTAATATGTAAGAGAAAAAAAAAACACCTCAAACACTCTTCAGGTGTTGTGATAGATTAGGGTCTTTAGACATTTGTGGAAGTTCTTGACTGAAATTCTCAACAGTACTTCATCCCATAGGTAATGATAGAAGCAGGGGCAGAGGCAACATTTGGCATATATTTCTGGGGGAAGGAAACATCCAAAACACATCTAAGAGGCCTCTGGAAGTCGGCACCCTCAAGGAGGAATGAGCACCACTTTAGCATACAAAAGTTTCCACAGAGCAGTCCCACCAACCAAGACCTGCCTTGGCATGAGACTTCCTTCTGAGAGTCAACTACGGGCCTCAGTCCTTTGCAAATAGTCAATGGTCAGATCTCCAAATTTACCTAAGATCTCCAAATTGCCAGGACAACTTTAAATTATGCTATAAGAGAATTCAAGTTAAACTGCCAAGTAATATTCTTTTCTTTCCTTCTCTCTAGCTACTCCCTAAAACACCAGAGATCTATGTGATAAGCATATTGATATCTAATATTGATACAATACAGTATTTATTATGCAATCAACAGGGGAAGAAACTCTGATTTGTGTTGAAGGTCCATGTCTCTTTTTGTCAAACTGGCTGGCAATGCAAGATATCAACAGAACCTGTGCCACACACGGACCTTTGTGAAGGCACAGCTGAGGGGCACACATGCCACTCCTCTGGGGTGACTGGGATGATTTGGTTGCCACATGGACACAAGTTGCAGAGGTCAGAAAATGAATAATTTGAAAACTTCTGCTTTCTAAGCATAAAATAGATAATATCTTAAATATTTCACATATAACTTAAGTAAAAGTCTTAGGAAAAGATGGGGTGAGGGAGACAGAGGAAACACACTGATTCTTGTGAGTCCCTGGCTGAGCTCCTGCCTGGCCTTGTGTTGTCAATGCAAAATGTCACATCCCACCACCTGGACCCCTTGTTCTTTCTTTGGGAAGAGAGGGGGAGAAAAGGAATCAAATTATCTGGATTTGACCACAGGCTCTATTTTCTGCTCTTGCTCCCAGTGGACAGGCTGTATGGCTGGAAATTGTGGTTGACCTTGGCTGACACAGGCAAGCACCTCAACTACTTTGTCCTGGGCTTCCTGATCTGCTCAGCAGGAGTGCCACTGGTCACCCACTTCAGCCAGGCAGCCAGGGCCCAGGCAAGATTCTGGGTGTTTTAAATTCCTTGGCAGAAAAGTGTCCCAGCTACTACAGAGGCTGTCCCAAATTTGAGGCGAGCCTGGGCAGCATAGCAAGACCCTGTCTCAAAATAAAATAAAAAAGTGTTAGGGGTGTAGCTCAGTGATAGAGTGCTTATTGTGCAAGCCTGAGGCCCGGGGTTCTAACCCCAGTACTGCAAGAAAAACAAAAACCAAAAAAAACTATTACCTAATCGCAGAACACTTATTTTTATATACAAGAATGGAATTTCTAGGTGAAAAAAGTCATTTTCTTTTAATCAGTAGTGTCTAACCTCAGCTTGGTGTCTGCTCGTTGCGTTGCTGAGATTTATCCAGATCCTGAAGTCAGAACACGAGAATGGCAGGGGAGGTCAAGGGGACAGGCAGCCTGGGGAGCAGGACACATCCCAGGGCTCAACGGAGTCCACTGTGTCCTTGGAGAGGGACAATCATTCTTGACACAGAGGACCAGAATATGAGCTGGGCTGGCCCAAGACCTGAAGTGCCCCGCAGGCCAGTCTGCAGGACAAAGCCTATGCAGCCCATCAGGCACAAGGATGCTTGAGGCCCTGAAGTTGCAAGCAGAGCATGGGGGTCCGTTTCATTCCCTCCCCGTGCTACTGTTTCCCAGAACCACCAACTCCAAACCCTCCCCAACCAACCTCGAGGGCAAAACTCTGGCTAGGCGAGGAGGTAGATCCCTTCAGAGGCTCTGCCTCCTCTGTGCAGAGTTGAGCCAGACAGCATTGACATCTGGTCTTTGATCTTCAGAGCTCGTCTTAGGGTGAGGGGGAGTCTGCACAGGGTAGGCTGTTGTTCCTGAAAGTCTCGCTCTGGACAAGCCAGGCTGAGCCAGGACTTGTTGGCCCAGTTTGGAGACTCTCATCCTGGCACCCCAGTCTCCCCGGGAAGCATTTGTTTTAAAGGTAAAACGTATGTGGGATGGGCTCCACTGTCTTCCATCTGTTGCTCTCTATAGAGATCCAGTGCTCCACAAAATCACCAAGACAGAAATCTGAGGGTCACAGATGACCTAGGAACCAGTGTTTAAAAATGCCAATCATAAGAATGTCACGATGGGACTCCAGGTATCTGAAAGCCCCCTTCAGCTTACTGTTGAAATTCACTGTGGGACAGCAATCATGAAAAGCATTTCTATTTACAGCTGCTTTTCAAATGTGCTCAAGTCACAGCAAATCTAACACCCTAAATAAAGGGAGTTTGGAAGATTTATATGGCACACAGTAGACACTCCATAAATACTGGATGAATTTTACTCTTCTGTTGAAAGTAATTTGACTTAGTATTTATATGTTGAAAAGATATTTGAGTGGCTCCTTAAATATACTTATGCAACGCAGACATAAAATTCTGCAATATAATTTGATAAGAAATGCATCTATAGCTGGATGTGATGGCACATGTCTATAATCCCAGCAACTCAGTAGGCTGAGGCAGGAGGATTCCCAGTTCAAGGCTAGCCTCAGGAGCTTAGTAAGGTCCTTCACAATTTAATGAGATCCAGCCCCCCAAAATAAAAAGAGTGGGGATATAAGTCAGTGTTAAAGCACACCTGGGCTCAATCCCTGGTACCAAGAAAACAACAACAAAAAAAAGAGCGAGTGAGAAAGAAAAGAAACAAGAAAAAAATAATTGAGCAACATCACCATGTTGAATGGAGTTTCCAATGGTTTCCAAAAATGGTTGGACACTTCATCTAAAGATGATCAAGATGAAAACTCCTCACTCCTCTGGTTATTGCAAGTCAAGGGGACTTTATTGGGATCCATGAATAATTCTTGAAATCATATGAAACTTCAAGAGGGTTGATTTATGAGCATTTTTTTTTTCTGGAGGAAAAAGCCACAACTTTCATTAAATTATCAAAGGCTCTGAAAGCTCCCTTGTCCCCCAAAAAAGGTTAAGAATTGCTACTGTTGATGAATGAGATTTCAACAGGTACTTGGATCACTTAATTCACTTCTCCTGCAGACTTTCAGACCTGGAGGAAGATGAGAATTCCCCAAGCATATCACTCTAACATTCAGTAACAACTCTTTGGAGTCATGTTATTTTAACAACAAACATTTTTACAAAGGAATTGTATGAAAAAAAAAAAGATACTTGGGAAGATTCAGAATGTACACATGTAATGCTCTTTCTTTTTTTTTTTTTTTTAAGAGAGAGAGATATGAGAGAGAGAGAGAAACTTTAATATGTATTTATTTATTTTTAGTTCTCGGCGGACACAACATCTTTGTATGTGGTGCTGAGGATTGAACCCGGGTTGCACGCATGCCAGGCGAGCACGCTACAGCTTGAGCCACATCCCCAGCCCATGTAATGCTCTTTCTGAATCACTTCCTGTCACTTGCCTCTCCCTCCTGCTAGCTTCCTTTTCCTGGTTCCTGGGATTTATTCCAGATGGCCATAATGGTAGAGTCCCACAGCAGGGAAAGGAAACTGCATGCAAAAAAGGTCTCCGACAAAAGAGAAACCACAAACCGTAAGTTCTGGGGTTCACTGCAAAGACTGGATGTTGCTTAACTGAAAAATCCTCCAAGTTCCTGGGAAGCACCTTCCCATAAGATATTCTATGCAGCAAAGATCCTTATTCCTCAGCCTGGGGTGTCCGTTGCACAGTCTGAGGTGAGCACACTTTACCACACTCTTTGGCACTGCCCTAGCAGAGCAGATGGACCCTGGGAGCCGGAGCCACTGAGCAGTGCTGGAGGCTGAGTCCTCATCTCCCTTCTGACTCCACAAGAGAATCTTTGTGCCCCCAGAGTTGTTCATCAATATTTTACTCACCAGTGAAGCCCTTTTAGAGGAAGAGGCTCTAACCCCTAAAACATACATAGTTGGGCCTATTGATACATGGATTGGAGATGCTGGGAGCCCCTAAGATCTGTGCAAGATGGAGGTGCCTTTTTCTAGGAAGAGATTCTGCTTTTAAACAGATTTTGGATGGGTTAGGGGCTTCCCCCAAACATCAGGCCCACCATGGTACAGGTATCTGTGATCACCATGAGGGTGAATGCTGAGGCAATCTCAGAAAACCTACTTGGTTTTCTCAGTTGGTTTCTTAAGATGCTGCAGGACAACTATTTTCAGTAAAGTCCCAGTGAAGTAGGGAATTATCACAAGCACAGTGTGTCCTACAACTTGATTTTAATTTTTAAATCCCATGTAAAAAGGAACATATCACACAGAGAGACATCTCTCTCTCTCTCTCTCTCACACACACACACACACACAGCTTTTTTAGTTGCCTGATTTTTAAAATTACATTGTAAAGGAAAAGCAAATCTTTCCATTTCAGCCATAAACTGCAGAAAACACGAGAGTCTAAGGAGGATTGCCCCAGTCTCTAAGAGGTGCTCATTTTTTCAATGAGGAAATGCCAGGCACCAAAGTTAGATTTTAGAATATTTTAATGTCCATTTCTTCAGTGGATGCATTTTGAAATTTTTGGAATTAACAATTTAAAAAGAGCAGAGCAAAGGAAATACGGAAAATGCAAACAGTGGGTTCTTGCTGATTTCATTTCAGATTCTAGGCATGATGTGATTTTTGAAACAACCAAAAATGCTTACCTTGAAAACTTTGAAATGTAAATGCAGAAGTATCTTTGGAAAGTGCAAGTGATCACAGCCCAGGTGAGGGGTGGCACACTGCCTTTGGCTCTCCACGTCACGTGCAAATGTGCAGGTGCAGTCCCCGCAAGTGAAGTCAAGTCAGTGTTGAGGGAGCTGTGTGCAGGTGTGGTGCAATCTGAGGGACTCTCAAGCTTTTTAAGGGCTCACAACTGGCGCTCTACTTTGTCTGCACTGGGTAAAATCATATGTGCTTGTTGATCATATAGATATATAAAATTTGATCTGATCTGGGGCCATGAAGAAAATAGCATTTGCAACTCAAAGCGACTATTTACACACATTCAATTCTGACATATTGCTTCCTACCCTAAGTTCTTAAGAAGTACTGCCACCTGCAGGACACCTCCCCGGCACCCAAGCCCACAGTCAGAAGCTCCACCACCTCCAGAGACAGCCACTAGTTCAGTGCCAGTGGATGGCAAGTGTGCACAGAGATTCTGTGGCTCTGCATTGAGGTATGCTTTGGAGCAGGACATCAGGGATGCCAGAGAGGAGGAGAGATTGTCTGCAGGGTGGTTTAGGAAGCCCTGGTGCTTTAAAGACCACTCATTCTCTGTGTAAGCAGCCTGTCCTCAGAGGCTCTATTTGCCCAGTGCTGAACCAGAGGCTAATGATTCTCTCCCCTAGGTCTGCAGCTTGGAGGTTAAGGGGAGATGAGGAATCACAAACACCTTTGTAGCAGGGGAGGGAAACAGTTGGACAAGGAAGAAAAGAAGTGTGTGTAGAGATGAACCTGGTAGAGCGTTTATATTTTTATTTGGTGGTACTAGGGAGTGAACCCAGGGCTGCTCTAGCACTGAGCAACATCCCCAGCCTCTTATTTTATTTTGAGACAGAGTCTCACTAAGCTGCTGAGGCTGATCTCAACTTTCATTGTTTCTATCTCAGCCTTCCAAATAGCTGGGATTATAGGCATGTGCCACCACACATGGCTGGTAGGGCACATTTTGAGAGAGATGATATTGGCAACCAGCCAGTCCCTCAAAGCTATACAGCTTATAAGTGGAAGGCAGAGAGAATGACCCTCGGATATACACCTAATACTGATGGGAGAAAGGCTGACGTGTCTTCCACCCCTAGTGCAAGGAAAGCATCAGGTAGTGTTTCTTAAGAAAAAAAATCTGCGGTGTTTTATAAGAATACATTCTTCAGAATTAAGAGGTATTGTCACAACCATCCTTTCTTTAGAATTGGAAGACAGACAAACTGACAGTCAAACCTGAAGAAACTCTCACAGTCACAGTCCCAGGACTGGGGTACTGCTGGGTGGCCGTCCCAGGTGTCGCCTCAAGGTGACTGACCAGAACAGAGATGTCACCAGGCCAGAAGCGGCAGATTCTGTCTCTGGGGGGGAGTGATGTGAGAATTAACAGTGAGGTTCACCAGCGAGAGAACACAGAGCGCGGCGTGCGGACCTTGACAGGTGCCAAGCTGGTCTTCAGTGGCATCATGAACCACATGCCAGTGTCACTGGGCAAAATGACCAGGACAGGGCAACTGTGGCTTGAGTTCCATTCAACATCAACTTCAGACTCAATGTGGCAAAACATGACTACTAGCTGGGGTGGCACTCAAGAGAACAGATGCGACTTTTCTTAGGTTTTCTCCCTTCTGCTGGCTGGACAGATGGCTCTGCCCCTAGGTACTTGGTGTGAGAGGATGCAGGAGACTGCATCCTGCCGTGATTAAGTCCAGACTAAGTCGGCCGAGCAGCTGTGGAGTGGGAAAGATCGAGGAACTTCCTGAACATGTGAAGCCAAGACAGTGCCTGCGCCACCTGCACGGGCTTGCCTAAAGCCCAGCTGGTTTTGGCCTGAATCTCCACAAGGGGGAGCACCCTGGGCTGCAGCTTGGCCCCCTGTGGTGGAAACACAAGGGACACCTTGTCCTTGATGGTCTCTACGCCCTTTTGGAACCCCCTGCCCTCCCATGGCCTATTTCCCTCCATCAAAACATGAGCACCCCCTCCCCAGACACACATCCTGATAAATAAATAAATAAATAACTGCAACCCTCAGACATTTATTTTGAGCTTCCCCCTCTGATGAGTCAGCTTCTAAGACAAACACTTCACTCCCACTGGAAGACCCCTCGGTGGAGGGTCAGGGTGAAGAAGGGCTTTGAGATTCCTGAGGCCTGGGTTTACAAGCTTTGTGCCCGGTGAGCATTTGAAATCTTGGCCTGCATGCGGGTGAACCCTGAAATCACTTGATGTGGGGAGCGGTCCACCCATGGCCCATGCGCGGGAGGGCCCAGGTGCTTGGGAGAGCATGGCAGGAGGGGCTTCTGGGCTTTTTCAGCCCATGCTCCCCTCTCTACCCCATCCCAGCGAATTACTGGCACTTTATATCAGATTCATAGATGCAAATGTGTGTGCGTGTGTGTGCTTACTGAGAAAGGCCAGGTGACTGGGAAACACTATCACGTATACAGAAAAAAATAAACTTGGAAACACTGTATGAGCCAATAACAACAAAAAGTGTCTTGTGAGAAAAGGCAATAAAAATGAGATCTAACCACAGCTTCTGTTTCAAAAGTCAAACAGTACCCAGAACCACGACCCCACTGGCCGCGTCCTGGCCTGGAGGCGAGCCTACCCTGAAGGCACTTGTTCTCCTTCAGCAGCTGAACGGATCATCCCCAAGGGGGGCAATTTCCAAGGAAGGGAGCAAAGGAAAGAAGAAATGGATGGAAACGAACCCTGAATAACTGTGATCCACACAGAATTAGGGCTGAAATGACCACATAACACCACATCCGGGACAGGAACCGTGGCGCTTAGAAAGTGCCACAGCCAAATACAAATATTATTGTGTTTCGATGAACAGAGCACCTCGGGCAGCTCTGGGCGCTGCCTCACACACTCTTGGAGACGTTGAGCCTGGTGAGCTCATTGGCTTCTTCCGCTCCCACATCCTCACAGTCCTCCTTCTCTATGGCTTTGCCAAAGCGACACCTTTCTTCGGCCTTGATGGGCTCTTTCCAGGGTCTCTTAGAAGACAGGTGCAGGTCTTTAGCCTGTGCGTTGTCATCAGAGCCCAAGGATGTCTTGTCTGAGTACTGGACAGAAGGCACCAGGTTGGCGATCTCGTCTGTGGGAGATCGCCCGATGCTGCCATCCACCTGGACACGGATGTCCGGGGAAATGGACAGCTGGTGCTGGGGTACCACCCCATTGTCCGTGCACTTTGGGTAAAGGTAGGTCTTCATCTGCCCTTTGCCCTTGACATTCACCGTCCCCCGGTAGTCGAAGTCGTAGCCCATCTTGCTCAGCACGCGGTAACTCTCTTCGCTCACCTGGATGCGGCACTCCACCCCAGTGGTGTCCATCCTGCTGGCAATGTTGACGGTGTCCCCCCAGATGTCATATAGCAACTTGGTGGTACCGATGACACCCGCCGTGAGGGGCCCATGGTTAAAGCCGACCCTGAGCTTGAAGTTGAACCAGAGCATGTTATTGTTGAAGTCGTCTACCACACGCATCATCTCCTTGGCGAACTCGAAAAGGATCCGCAAGTGCTCCTGTGGGTGGCTGCCCTCCTGGCACTGGGCAGTGTTCAGCCCTGACGCGGCCATGTATGTGGCCCCAATGGTCTTGATCTTCTCAATGCTGCTGTAGTCCGCCTTGCTCAGGAGCTCATCAAAGTCCCCGATGAGCTCATTGAGGACGCGGTAGCACTCCTTGCCCCCTTCGTAGTTCTCCTCATAGAACTCGCTGAAGTTGACGATGCTGGCAAAGATCACTCCTCCGCTGTCATGGTTCTTGGAGTAGGTCTGGGAAACCTTCAGCTGCTCTGCCACGTGGTAGGGGATGATGTTCCTCAGCAGCCAGTCGGCCTGGTCCCTCATGCTCTGGATCTTGGTGCGGTGGAGATCTGCCTCCACATCCCCATGGTAGTGCAGGCGGTAGCTGACCTCGAACTCTCGGTTCAGGAACCAGACCAGTAGGAGCAGGAGGAAGAAGGCAAGAATGAGCTCCTTGCCCACGAGGCTGGCTGGCTCGCTGCTGTCCTGTGGCAGCGAGCTGTTGCATGGGCTCCTCTTGGCACTGGGGAGCAGAGAGATGAGAAAGGACATCCTGCTAAGTGCATCTGTTAAGGGAGAGTTCTGAAGCTGCCCAGCTAACCAGCACCCTACACTGCAGGGGCGGAATTCAACCCTCAACAACTTCAAGCTGCTGTACGACAGCCTGCTTCTGCTTCTGCAGCAGGCCGCAGAGATGGAGCAACAGACAGCGACTTCAGCAACTAAGTCTTTAATCAGTACAGCGTGATGACTTTTGCCCCACAAGTCTTTAGCTTTGTTTAGACATCTTTTCCTTTCTTTCAACTTTTTTCTTTTGAAAAATCTCAACTTTACAGAAAAGTTAAAAATCTAGTAAAAGAATCCTATATTCTTTACCTGGATCCCACAGTTGTGAGCATTTTGCCACTTTGCCTTTCTCTCTTAACACGCACACGCGCACACACACACGTTTTGTTAAACTTCTCTCCCCTTCTCTCTCTCTCCCTTGCTCTCTCTCTCTCTCTTTGGCAGCACTGGGTTCAATCCCCAGGACCTCATCATACCAGGCAAATACTCTACCACTGAGCTATAATATCAGCCTTGCTAAGCATTTTGAAAGTAAGTTGCTGCTAACGTGACACTCCAGTTCTACTCTGGTAAACACCTTCCAAGATGAGGGCATTTCCCTGTGTAACCACAACATCATCACCATGCCTAGGAAGTTTAATAGTATCTGATATATGTGCTTCTTAGGTTTCTGATCCAATAGAATTTTAATTTTCAAAGAATTTCTTTAAGTTCTCTACTATCTACTTGTATTAAAGTTTTGCAAAATATATTTTCCCCTATTCTGGGTTAATTCTGTTTTGCCAAAGTAATTGAAGACAACATCAAAGAAATAAGAATAGGGCCGGAGTTGTGGCTCAGTGGCAGAGTGCTTGCCTCGCTTGTGTGGGGCACTGGGTTCAACTCTCAGCACCACATAAAAATGAATAAACAAAACAAAGATATTGTGTCCATGTAGAACTAAAAAAAAGTTCAAAAAAGACAAAAACAAAAACAAGAATACAGGTAGGCATGGCAGCTTGTTATCCCAGCTACTCAGGAGGCTGAGGCAGGAGGATCACAAGTTCAAGGCCAGCATGGGTAACTTAGTGAGAACCTGTCTCAAAATTTTTAGGCTGGGGGTGTGGCTCAGTGGTAGGGGGCCTCTGGTTCAATCCCTCATACTGAAAAATAAAAATAAATAAATACATAGATAGATAGAATATATGAATATACTTTAATATTGAGTATACTCATATATAAACTAGATGTGGTAGCATATGCCTATAACCCCAGAGTTCTTCCTTATGTCCTCTTCCCTCCTTCCCTCCCTTTCATTAACAATGCTGTGATTGTTCTGTTCAATAAATGTTACACCTTGAAGTATTTGTAAAGTGCCCAAGAGAGACTACTAGATTTTAGGTAATAATGGGCTTGGTCACTATATAAACATAACTGTATCTGTTACTGAAGCATCTGAAGTTTAAACAGCTCTCTGACACAGAAATCTCATTTTTTTGGTCAAAGTATTTAGTAAGTCTTACCGCTACTTGTGATGTAAGGTTATTTAAAACAGTGTCTTTGGCATGGCCATAAAGGTCCTCCTCAAAGCACTGTCTCAAAAGCCCTGACCTTGGACTGGAACCCCTGGGCTATTCAGAGAGTTCTGGGACCTTGGACAAGCCATGCCACCTTGCCAAGTCCCAATTTCTTTGTGTGAAAACTGGGAAGATGGGCTGGAGTATGGCCAAGTCCCTTCTGACCTGAGGTTCTGTGCAGAAAAGAGATCAGTGGGCGCAAGGTTGCAATCCTTAGGAGCCTGTTTGCAAGGTGGCCCAGGCTGGGCTCAGGGCGCTTGGATCTGGGGTCCCACCACTCCTGGGCTGCAGTGCCACGTAAGTGCGTGTACAGATAGGCAGGTATGGTGACTCCTGCACTCCTTGTGGAAGCTTGAACCTTAGGTATGTGCTGGGCACAGGCTGCCCATGTCACCACCTCTACTAACCCTTGGTGGCAAGTCTCCCTGGGTTTCCCAAGTGTAGCCACAGTCGTGGTGGAGAATGAGCACATTCCCTGTGATGACACTAGGAGAGGGCTCCCGGAAAGTTTTCCCCTGGCCGATTTTGCTCTGCGTCCTTTCACTGCAATGGCCTCTAACCATGAGCATGAGGATGTGCTCAGTCCTGTGAGCCGGGGGCTGCTCTTGGGGGCTCCTGACACAGGCTTTGGCTGAACACCTATGAACTGGGGCCCTATGAACCCGCAGGTCCTCTATAGTAAGATATCCCATACTTATTCATTCTCCTCACTGTCATTGACACAAATGACACGATATACTATGAATCTGAAGGGCTCAGCAAAGTAACTACTTATTTTAGATGAGTAAAACGTGGACTGGACCAGCTCCTGATGCCCTCTGGCTGGCTTTTAAGCAGAGTAGCCCAAGATCTGAGATCAGAAGAAACACGCCTCCTGTCCTTAAGGTTCATCTCATTGGGTTAGGAGTCGGGTTTCCTTTTGGTTCTCCACAGTGGTGACAGCGAGGAATGGCCCTATTTAGGTGCCACTGAAGTTGGCACCTGAATGTATAAGGAGACATCACCTGAATGTACAAGGAGACATTTAAAATCTCCATGGAGAAGATGGGTTTCCTTGCCTGCGTTTGTGTACTGCTCTCAAAACTTTTCCTGCTATGCTGCAAGAAAAGCCAGCTGTAGCTGACCCTGGAGATTGGTGTGGCCAATACCCTGTGGGCAGAAGAGGGGGAGAGCAGGGCCAGGGCAGGTAGGACAGGCAAATGAACTACAGATGCTACTCAACTTCCAGTGGGACTGTGTCCTGACAAATCATCATAAATACTATAAGTCAAAAATACATTTTATACCCCTGAGCTTCCTGAAACCGGGGCTTGGCCTCACGTACCTACATTGTGCTCAGAACACTTACATGGGCCTATAGTGGGGCAAACTCATCTAACTCAAAGGCGGTGTTATAACACAGGGCTGGACACCTCATGTAACTTATCTTATATTGTGCTGGAAGTGAAAATAAGAATGGTTGCGTGGGTTCACTTTCCTGCCATCTCAAAGCACAGAAACAGTGAAGTTTAGCTGCTGCAAGCTGGGGACTAACTCTGCACTGCTGGATTTTTCCCTCTCCTAGAACCAATGTTATAGAGGGCACCTGAAACAAGCAGGTAAGAGAGGCACTGCCAGGCTGTGACCTCACTCCCTCCCCCAGGTGGATGGAGCAGGGTGATGACCCCACTCCTAACTTCAAACAGCAAAGGTTGGTTTCAAAAAGAGGAATTTGGGGGAGATTCAATGCAAGAGAACTCATGACTGGATACTTCCATGTGTGACATTAAATAACACATGGAAGCTAATGTAGAATATAGTATATGCATTATCATGGGGAAGTGGGATTTAAAAATAGAAAAAAAAAATAGAAAACCAGGATCACTTGCTGTCCTAACCAGCTAAATGTGGCATTTGTTAACATTTCAGGGTGTTTCGGAGCACTTCAAGATCTTCACCTGATGGAGGAACGGGGTATCACCAGGAGGGGTTGGAGAGGTACCTGGGTGTTGGTGATGTTTTGTTTCTTGGTCTGTGTTCACTTGGGGGAAATGCACTATGTTGTAGTGTTAGGACCTGGGGACTCTCCTGTATCTGTGTCATTCGTCACTAAAACAGTAACTTAAAAATGATGCTAGATGTTTTGTTTTTAAATACTGTAGTTGTAAATCATCATTCATTATTTTATCATAAATATTATGTCTTGGGCTGTTCTGTGGCTCAGTGCTAGACCACTTGCCTTGCATGTATGAGGCGCTGGGTTCAAATTCTTAGCACCACACATAAATAAATAAATAAAATAAAGGTCTATTGATAACTCAAAAAATATTAAAAATAAATAAATAAATGACTTACATTTTTTTAACAAATAGAGTAAAATACAATACCTAGCAATAGTTATAGTACATTCACAATTTCACATAATAAATATCATACACATTTCCCATATTGGCTCTATTTTAACAGTTGTACTATTTGGGTGTGTCATAATTTAATTCCTTTGTACTGAGAACTGAAGTTGCTGATAATTTTCAATATTATCCATCATTGTGATTAATATTTGGGGGCAAACAGCCTTTATCCTACGATGAATTCTTTCCTCAGCAAATAGGCAAGAAAGAACTGCTAAGTTAAGGCCTATAAACATTTTAAAGACTTTTTTTTAAAAATTATTTTAGTTGTTGACGGACCTTTATTTTTATTTATTTGTATGTGGTGCTGAGAATCGAACCCAGTGCCTCACGCATGCTAGGCAAGCGCGCTACCGCTGAGCCACAACCCCAGCCCTTAAAGACTTTTTAAAAAGACTGTTGCAGGGCACAGTGGCGCACGCCTGTAATCCCAGTGGTTCGGGAGGCTGAGGCAGGAGGATCCTGAGTTCAAAGCCAGCCTTAGCAAAAGTGAGGTGCTGAGCAACTCAGTGAGACCCTGTCTCTAACAAAATATGAAATAGGGTTGGGGATGTGGCTCAGTGGTCGAATGCCCCTGAATTCAATCCCAGATATAAAAAAAAAAAAATTATCAAATTACTTCCAGAAACTGCTGTAACATTCTGAGAAGTAATGAGGCATGGTAGAAAGGCCATACCCTAGGAATGAGGAAGACTATGACTAAACTGTGTGACTGTGGGCAGGGCAGGTTCCTCAACTTCTCTGAGCTTCAGCTTCAGGGACAGAAACAAAGTCACCTAACATATCAGGTTATGGTGACGATTAAGTGAACATCACCTACTCTGGATATTCATATTACAACTTTTCAAAAGTCTAATTTAAAAGAACAAAGAGAATTGTTCAGGTATTTAAATGTGAGATGGCTTCAGTATTGACAATACTGACAATGTATCCATATTTATCTTCTGCTCACATTTCCTCTTTAATGCAAACTTTCTGTTGTTCTGTCTTTTATCTGTGTAGGCCTTCATTAGCTCTTTATATAATAGTCCCACAAATATTTTTCTGTTTACTTTTTCTTTCTCTTTCTTATTTGTCATTCGGTCTTTGTGATCCTATTTATGTATTTATTTTTAATTAAAAAATATTTATTTTTTAGTTGGACACAATAGTTTTATTTTGTTTATTTTTATGTAGTGCTGGGGATTGAACCCAGGGCCTCAAATGTGCTAGGCAAGCCCTCTACCACTGAGCCACAACCCTAGCCCATGTGATCCTATTTATTATTAATAAGTCTAGAAAATTATCTCTGTCTTAGAGGCTTGAAAACTAATTTTGTTTTTTTCTAGATTTTATATAGGCATATTAGTTGTAGTTGGACAATACCTTTTATTTATTTTATTTATTTATTTTCATGTGGTGCTGAGGATGGAACCCAGGGCCTTGCACACACAAGGCAAGCGCTCTACCACTGAGCCACAACCCCAGCCCTATATAGGTTTTTTATTTTTGACTTTTCAATTCATATAGAATTTATTTTGATGTCTATAGTAAAGCAAGCAAGACCTAACATTGTTTTAGGGGGGAAAAATAACTATTTTTCCTTGATTTGTGAAATTTCCTCTGTAAAGACTTACATAAAATTAAACGAATTCTAATACATGTCTGAATAATTATTTTAGCACTCTGGAGATTGAGGCAGGAGGATCACTTGAGCCCAGGAATTCAAGGCCAGTTGGGGTGACATAAAGAGACCCTGTCTCAAAAAAGTCATTCTATTTTTTCAATAAGACATATAACTTTGATATAATATTTAAACAAGTAGTTATTTTTACTTTACTTTTAAAGAATGCATATGCTGTTTATTTTATTTGTGATATGACTGCTTTCAGGAAGCTCTGATATCAGCAGTAATGAGACAGTCACTTTCATTTGTCCAGGTATAGACATCACGTTAAAAGCTTACCTGAAATTCTGTGCTGCATCCAGGGGTGAAATTACTATGGAACTGTAATTAAAATGCAGAAAAATATTGTTAAGAAAGCAAAAAGGCATAACAGAAAGTCACCTAAGAAGAGCTGAAGCAACTTTCCAGTGTGGGATATCGACTAAAGGAATGGCTATCCTCTCAGGGACCGCCCCTTCCTGTACTCCTGTGTCCCCCGAAGCTGGAGAGCTTTGGCTCTCTGAAGCCCCCCTCTTCAGTGAAAGTTTGTGTTTTTGTTTCCCTACCCACCTGCTCCCCTGCTCCCCATCCTGGCAAGGCCTGGCAATGACAAGGAGCTGAGAGGGCTCAGGGCTCACAGGACCTTCTGGGCAGAGGCATCCTGGGTCAGGGGTGTTTCGCCTTCCAGCCCCCGAAGCCTTATCCAGGACCTGCCACCTGGATTCTAGGCAGGAAGGCAATGTTGTAATCCCTACCACATTGTCTTCCTGGACCCATGGGGAAAAGTTCCACAGCTGTGACTAAATGTTACCATGAATGGCAATGAGGCCGCTGTGAAAGCTCTTAGGTTAAAAGTTGGTGGCCATATTTCTAGCTGTTGGTGCAGAGCCTGTCATGGACCATGTCTTCAGGAAGGTAAAAGTGGGCTTTACTTTGCTTTCAGTAATTTAACTATTTATTACAGTTCCTTTCAAATACCAAAAGGCAATTCAACTTTAAAGTCCCTATTTGATCTTACTTTGAATATCTTTCATAACATTACTATTAAGTAAATTGAGGAAAGACATTTAATCTGTGCATTTTTGGCCACTGCTTGGTTAATACCATAAAATGTGCTACCAATATGACATTTGACAATATTGGGATGAAGTGGCCCATTGTGTGCTGTGTGTGTGTGTGTGTGTGTGTGTGTGTGTGTGTGTGTGATGCTGGGGATTAAACCCAGGGCCTTGTGCATGTGAGGCAAGCATCCTATCCACCTACTATGTGCTTTTATACTGACTAAAGTAGTGGTCCTCAGTGACAGATATGCCAATTCCTAGATGGGCACCTTGAAATGTGGGGTCTCTCTGGTGGTGGATATAATAGTAAACTATCTTGCCAAGCACAATGAAGTGGCTCATGCACTTCTAAATAACCTGCTTCTTAAACCCTCTGAGATTACATCCAGATGGTTCTTTGATACATGCTAATAGTGAAACATTTTTATGAGAAGTTACAGAAGAAGTCTAATATTTAGCAGAGGTTTGTTATACAAACAAGCTTACTAGTGTAAGAGATCATTGATTTTTTTAAAATAAAATACTTCACTGTGTGCATCCCACTGAGGTATTATTGTTTCAAAGTACATATTTAATTGACAAAAGGTAAAAGCCACAAAACCAGTTGCAGATGTGCAACAGGCAATTTGAGACTTGTTTTCACAAACTGAGACCCAAACATCATTCAACTAGTAGAACCCACCAAAGAGAGGGGCTTCACTGGCCCCTGCTTGCACAGTGTAATTTAAAAGTCCCTCTGGTGGCCCTTGGATATACTTCTCAATTTTTGCAGCCCCATCAGTGTGGGAGACCAACCTTACACGGGACTGAGTCACACTCCCCGGCTGGGTGCTGAGGTGCTCAGTCACAGAAATGTGGCAGAGCTTTCCCCACCCTTCTTGGGTTTGAGAGTTGGTATCTCCTGCATGGGTGTGTCTTGCTACAGCCCCATGGGTGGAGCTATGCTCATCTGTCCCTTTGTAATATAACCCCTTGCCTGTTTAGAATAGAATCTTCCATGGAAGTGCCTTATGTGTGTCCCTTTCTCTTACTGTGTCCTTGGGTGTGGCCTACCCAGGTGTCAGTCAACCTGCTGACAGTGGACATCATGAAGATAGACTCAGTCCCTTGAAACCTGACCCCTTGCCTCATTTGAATAGCTTCTCCTCAATAAAAGGGGTCAGCGTGTGCTCTCGCTCTCTCTCTTCCTGTGGACCCTTAAGGTCAGAGAAGCCGTCACAGTGACCCCAAAGAAAAAGGTATTTGTGTCTCTTGTGTGGTTATTTTGTGCAGCCCAGTTAGCCCAGTTTAACTAGAGTGACCCTGAGCCTTTTAGTCACGAAAACAGAAACCCGGCACATCAGAACTGGTCCTGTCTGCAGTGGTCACCACAGGACTCCTGCCTCTGTCCACACCACACTCCCTACTCCTCAGCACCCATCAGTGAAGGCCATCTTGAGTGCAGAAACTTAATATCCTCCTCAACCCATGGCTGGACTTCAAGACCAAAGACATATGCAGTAACCTGGAGGTTGTTCCTGTGTCTCACATTATAACAGGGAACCATGGTGACCTTCTAATCACCCTACATCTTCATTTCTCCGGCTTCAAAGTTTGTCACCTATCTTGGAATGTGTACCCTACTTCAGAGCAGGTTAATTCTGCTTCCTCTTCATTTCTGCACCACCTGGACCTCTGCTTTTTCACTGTCCTAATCATCTCCTTTGAGATGGCTTTGGGTCTGACTTTCTTAGATTCCAACTTATTCACTGCAAGTACGTTCAGACACTACCACTGCATTCTATCTACATGGGGCAGTCACCCAAGAACATCTATATCCAAACACACACTGATTGAGTATCCCTTACCAAAATGCTCGGGGCCAGAAGAATTTCAGATTTCGGAATATTTGCACACATATAGTGAGGTGTCTTTGGGATGGGAACCAAGTCTAAACAGGAAATCTGTTCATGTTCCACATACATGTTGTATACATAGACTGAGGGTAATTTCATATAACATCTTAAATAATTTTGTGCATGAATATTGGTGTGCATCAAACTATCAGACTTCTGGCATGAAGTTGATGCTCAAAAGTTTTGAGATTTTCCAGAATTTTGAACTTTGGATCTTGATGCTCAACCGGCAGCACACTGTTATAAACTGTTCTTTCTCTTTCACACATTACCTTAGGGCACCTTGCCACTACTCTTTGGATACTATATGTGTTGGAAGCTACTCTGGGTCTTGGTGGAAAACATCCACCATGCAGAGGGGCATCAGCACTACAGTGAAAGCACAGCCTAAGAGACATGAGGCAGGTGGTCACAGCTGAGGACACCATTGCATACCTGTCTGGACACAGGGAGATGTAGAGCAGAAGCAGTGGCCCAGCCCCCACGATGGTAGCAAGGGAGGACCTCATCCAGGAGCTGAGCTGGCAGAAGTTACAGTAGTGCACAACGGCCACCAGCACTGCTGAACTGGTGGACACAGTGAACTGTAAGAGAAGCCAGTGTTAGGACAGCCATGTTGCGCTCATGTCCCACCCAGGCCGTACAACCCAGCCAGCCAGCCTGCCTCCGACCCACAGCTGTTCAACAATGCATCCTTGATACTGCTGATGGCCTATCAATGTGCAAGAGCGCTTACTTTTGGTGAGCCAGTGGTTTAAAGGACAGATCACACCTCTTTGGACCTGTGACCCAGTGCTTAGGTTCCAAGTTTTTGTTGGCACAGAGACTCTCCTCCAGGTGTGTGGAAATGGCACACATCTTTATGGTAGAAAGGAAAGTGCTCCCGCTGGGCAGCACTATGGGGTCAGTTACCTTCCAAACACTTCCTCAGGCCCCTGCTGAAAGCCTACTGAAGTGTCATTTGGTGTTAAAGCACCAAATGCAATCAGCCTGCCCTGGAAGCTCACATTACACTGACATGAACCAAAAACATAATCTTCCCCAACAATATTAGCTTGCCCTTTGAGTTTAACCCAAAAGCTCCTTTTTTTGATCAGGGGCAGCTGATCCAGACACACATAAGTTACTTGTGCCGGTTCTATAGATTGGCACATTATCTCACCTCGTTTGGAAGGTGGGACAGACACTTCTTTGTAAAGCACAATAAAAATACAAATGCTCCTCAACCTCCAATAGGGCTAAGTCCCAATGAGACTCACATGTGGAAATTACTGTTAAGTCAAAATGCATTCAGTCCACTTAACCTACAAGATGTCACAGCTCAGACTGCCCCATGAACCTTCAGCCAGGCAAAGTCAGCCAACTCCAAGCCTGTTTGATAAGCAAGTGCTAACCATCTTTCATTGATTTACTGACTATTGCACTGCAAGTAAAAATCAGAATGATCATATGGGTATGCCTTCACACCATTCCGAAATAAAAAATCATGAGCTGAACTATGGTAAGTGGGGACTATTTGTAACTAATTTGACACGAGTAAAGTTGGAGAGGATGTGAGCCCACTGGGGAATCTCTCCAGCATGCTCTGTTTCAAAAGGCGCTCACGCTGTGGCAGAACACACGTCTTTAAGGGCCAATATTTAAGTGACTGTCCCAAGTAATCAGGCTGAGGGATCACGGAAGGTCAGCGAGCTTGCAGGGTATGGAGATCACATTACTAGCCATTACTTACGTGTATATTTGTCTCAAATTCAGAGGTGATGTGTGAGTAGACAGCAAGGGCAGGCAGGGACACCAGGACAGCCCCGATGCAGTGGCGAGGGAGCCAGCCAGCAATCCACTCCAGCAGGTGCTTTGTGCATGCCATGACATCCTCCAGGAAGAACACCATCCTGGGACAGGGAGGGGTGAGGAAGCAGGATCAGAGGGCCTAGTGGATCAGCCTGGCAGGGGCCCAGCCCGCACTGCCCTCTACTGTCCTATGCTACTGCTGCCCACCTCCCTCATGCTTGGTAAAAGGCAAGTGAACTGGCCTTGTTTAGCACATCATTCCAGACTTTAAGGTCAACTGTCGCATTTGGGTAAAATGTGCTTGTCAGAAGCCAAGCTTGCACCTCTGTGGGCCCAAGGAAGCATGTAAGAATAGCTATAGGCCTAAGGAGGGCTATAGTGGGCACGTCACTGCCACCTGGCCCACCCATGGGCAGAAGATCCAGAATGGGGGTGGTCCTGAGGGCATTCTGGGGGCCTTCCTGGTTGCCACAATGGTGGAGGGCTGCTACTGGCCTCCAGTGAGTGCAGCCAGGGATGGAGATGCCCTGCCACCCATGGGAGAGAACCATAGAGGAGGTTCTGCCTTGCTGCTGCACAACTGCCACAAGCCCTCAGATACCTCGGTGGTGAAAATGTTGCAGCCTGGACCTGGTTGTATTCCATGCACAAATAGGAAGTTCTGGGTGATATTAACCTGCAAATCTCTGAGAATGCAATTCCTCTGCAAACCAAGTGAAAATTGTCCTTCATTTTGTTTGGGACATCAAAGGTCACTCAGCATTTCAGACCAAACCCAGCTCATAGTGTGTGGCCCCCAACCCCACACCCCTACCTCAGCTCCTGGTGCGTGGCCCCAACTCCACACCCACAGTCTGTTTCCAACTGTCACACGTGCAGCAGTGATTATGGGCATGAGGGCAAATGGTAGACTGATCCGTTACTCCACAGTTAGCAGCACCCTGGCATGCCTGAGGGAAAGCACTGAGGGCTCCATCTCAAGTGACTTCCTTTCTGTTTCTCCTTCACACTGCAGTGAAGGCGTCCCACTGCTTCCTTGTGCAATTGTGTTTTTGAGTGGGGTACATCTCAGGAGTGTGATATAAACAAAATACTTTCTACACAGGGGAGAAGTGGAGTGTGGGCTGGAATGTCAGGTGAGGGGATAAACTGGCCTTGGCTGAGTGATGGGCTCTCTGGGTAGGGGTGGGTGAGAGGCAGAGGAAAGGGTACGGGGGTCCAATTGGGACAGAGACTCACAGACATTCTGGAGAGACCAGACCTCCTTTTAAGCCTGCTTCCAGAGAGCTGAGGACAGGCCCACTGCCTTTGGCTCTGGAGAGGTCAGGAGCCACTGCTGGACAAAAATGTGTGCCTTTCCACATGCCTGTGGTTGGAGCCTTCGACCCTGAACTCCTGTAGTGTGTCACCTGCTTTGGCTGAGCTCAGCCATGGCCAGGAACTAGTGACTCTCCAGCCATCTCCCACATGGACTCAGGCATACTCTGGACCTTTTCATGTCTTGGAAGCTCTGGCTTCCTGATAGCTAAACGATAACAGAGGTCCTGGATTACCTCCAAGAATACCACAAATAAATATTCCCCAGGTAGAACCCAGAGGTCCTGAAGGGGGACAGAGGGAGCTGAGTTGTTCCTAGGAGATGACACTGGAGGCCCTTCCTGATGGTCTTTGAAACCATAGAGTTCCAAGGACAAGACCAGCTGATATCACCCTTGCCTGGTGCTGAACTGGAGGAAGGAGACCATGAGTAGAGATATGGGAAGGCTTTTGGGTGAGGCAGGTAACAACCCAGGCCAGTCACTGAGGAAGCTGCAGAACTGGCTCTGTGGGGTGCCTACATACTCTACAGTACAGGTTCTTTGGGATCTAGGATCCTAAAAATGGCCCTTAGAGGGGCAAAGGGAAGCCATTTAAGGTCCACCCTCTCTTGGGCTTTGACAGCTGCTAGCACACTGAATTCTAGCAATTCAAACCTCTTGTAGGGGCAGATCAGCGCCTTACTCTCTAGTCGCTCAGGGATGGCCCAGTCACCTGCAGCCCTTTGTGTCTCAGAAGAGCAGGGCCTACACGACAGGGAGCAATGGCTACATGGTTAAATACAGTTAAGTCATGGGGACAATGCTAAATTCAGAGAGGCCTAGAACCACAGAACCCTGTTAGAGAGAAGCTTTGGGGGTGGGGGGGTGAGTGACTACTATAGGGTTTCTTTTGGGGTGATGGAAATGTTCTAAAATTACATGTTTGTACAACTGTAAATTAACTAAAAAACCACTGAATTCTACACCTGAATGAGTTTATTATATGTGAATTATCACAATAAAATTGATTTTTTAAAAGGAAAAACAAACAAACTAGGGGCCAAAAACTGACTTGGTCTGGGTTTGGCAGAAGCAGACCCTGGGTAGGGTTTGACTGCAAGTAGCTTCTCTGGGAGTGAGAGGAGGGGCAGAGATGGCAGCAGAGGCCGGGGGTGGGGGTACAGTCAGGAAGGGTCCTTGCTGTGCACCATGGGCTTGTTCTTGGAAGGGAATTTTGGAGACAGTGGAGACACTCTAGGGAGGAGGGTGTGGCCTCTGCAGTCCTAGCATAGAGCTTGGGGTAGGGGTAGGAGGTCCTGGGGGTAGCCAGACAGAAGAAGGCAAGGAGCCCAGCCTGCCCACTTGAAAGAGGAAAGATTAGTATGTAGAAGTCTCAGGACCAGATCTGAACTATTTTTTTCCACATTGGGATATTGTTAAGATTAGCAGAAAACCACAGTCATGCCCTTCTCCCGTATCCATTTTACCCTTAGCTCCCAGTGGGCTTGCCCCTGCCGAGAGGCTGTGCTGTTGAGTGTGACGGGGCTGGGTACGGGGGTGCGGGGCAAGGACCTGCTGTCTAGGTGCCCAGCAGGCAGGCCTGTGGTGCCATTGGTGTGTGCCTAAGCGGGATTTGCCCTGTGCATTGCACCTGGTCAGAATGGTGGAGCTACCCAAACTCTGGGCAGGTCCTCTGGGCCAGCTTCCTGGAAAGGCACTGCTCTCTACTCAAACCCTTTTTGTCTTTTGGAAATGCACCTTTTCATTACTGAGCCGTATGAACACATACTACAGGTTCTAGGTATCAGACATGAGTCACACAGGTGACCTGCAAATATTTCTCCCGCTCCCTGAGTTCTTTCACTTCCTCCATGGTGTTCTTTGTAGCATGAAAGTTTTAAATTTTGATAAGGTCCAATTTATCTATTTTTTCTTGTTGTGTGTGCTTTTGGTGTCATATCAAATCCAAGCTTGTGCAGACTGACATCTGTGATTTCAGAGGGTTCACACTCTGGCTTTCCTGTTTAGAAGAGGCACTTGCCCATCAGCTGTCACCCATCATTTGCTCCCGATCCACTGAGTAGAGATTTGGGAACCTTTCTGTCTCCACTGGTTTCCCTATTCTGGACATTTCATATAATAGGACTGCACATTGCATACTGTGTCATCTTTGATGACCCTGCCCCATCTCCTATCTTCCCACTTCTCTGATTTAGGAGATCCAGGGATGAGCTGGTGGCAGCTGGGGCTGCAGAAGGCACTGGCCCTCTCCACTAAGCAGCTCCCACACGTGTGGAGCGCCAGCGCCTGCGAGGAGGTAGCTGTGCAGTGGGGTGGGGGCACAGGGAGAGGAGGGAACAACGGCTGTCCCCAGAAGCAAGTTTGGAGGGTCAGCTGGCTTAGGACCCCGACCCACTGTGCTGCAGTCAGCCTGTTCCGCCATAAACCATGGAGCCAGAAGAGGGAGCTAAAGGCTAGAGAGCTGCCCTGCAGTGGTTACCTGATGGAGACCACAAGGGACAGCACCTCCAGCAGCAGGGCCCCACTGAAGACGGCCAGAGCGGCAGGTGGAGGAGGCGTGGCAGCAGCCCCGTACTTGAGGAAGCAGGTGACCGAGAGGATCAGGAACACTGTTGTGGACAGAAACACATCCAGGAGGGAGCTGAAGGTAGCACTGGCAAAAGTCTTCACAGGAGAATTCTTTATGACCTGTTTAGAGCAGGAGGGGACTGGGGTGAGTCCATGTGGCCACAGATGGCCACAGAGTCTAACTCAAAGGGAAAAACACTCATGTTTACTGAGAGCCTGCCTAGTGCAGACCAGGCACGAGTGGGCCATCTCTTTGCTACTGACCCACTTAATGATAAGAAAACTAAGGCACAGAGAAGTTAAGAACTTTCCTAAGGTCACACAGTGACTGATAACAAGCCACATGCTCTCACAGACATATTACACATTGAGTCTGAAAGATGAGTTGCTGCCTGGCAGAGTTAATGAGTCCACATGTGTAAGGACAGTTGGATGAAAGCAAGAGTTGGAAGCTGCCAGCAAATGGCTGGGCCTCAGGTTTGAGGTGGGAAGGGTGGCTCCATGACAGAAAACAGGTGGGGATTTAGGCGGCAGCCAAAGAAAGCTCCTGCCTATTGAACAGGGGTGCCTGCCAACAGCACCTCTTCTTCCCTGGGAGCCTGCACTGCCCGGCTGGGCACTGGGTGCAGTTGTAGCCATGAAATGATCCCTGCGAGTAACTCAGCCTGGTGGTGGGAAAGGACGGGGACAGGAAGTGCAGGAGAGTGTGTGAAGTAAAACAGAGACATGCATGTGCTGTGAGGACGTTAAGAAGGCAGTAACAGCAAGGGCACTAACCGTCCAAGGGAGGACTACTCCAGCCCCACTGTGGGCCCTGTAGGGGCCTGATCTTGATCAGTGCTCACAACAGCCACAGAGAAGGAAATACTACTGATCTCTGTGCAGATGGGGAGCGGAGCTAGCCTGCCTCTCCAAGGACACACAGCAAATAAGGAACCAGGCTTCAACCAGACAAGCTGACTCCCCAGTGTACCTGTAACCCTCTCCAGATGAACCTAAAGGCCGGGGCTACAGTAGGAAGAAAGGGAGCAGCCAACCATCAAAGTTACTTTCTACTGGGTGCTGCAACTCTGAGCAGGGCGCCAGGCAGAAGGGGCTGGAGCCCATGGAAGGCAAAGGTCTGTTGTGTGTTACTCTAGGACAAACTGGCTCTAGAGCCTCAGCCTCAGCCCAGGACCCCAAGATGGGCAAGCCTGGAGAAGGGGAGTTCAGCGCTTGGGGCTGAGGCTGTGGGCTGGCTGTGATACCAGGCTTGGAATGGGAAGAGCAACCTGAGGGCAGGGCTAGGTTCTAAAGTCCCTCCAGGAAACTCAGAGGCTCTGCGAGTAGGTCTTGATTTCTGAAGTGCACTCAAAAGACCCCCAGAGTCTCTGGGGTGAGGCTGCCTACCCTGACTTTGTTCTCTCTGGGGCTCTACCTAGTTCCAGGGAATGGCCACGGCTTGCTGCAGGTGGCCCAGGTTGGGCAGTAGGGGCTCAGGGTCTGCTTCGAGGCTCTTGCAGGATAGTCACAGTGTGGGGGACCTTTCTTCCCACCTCAGTGCTGAGGTTTCTGACTTCCCCACATGTGGGGCCTGGGGGTAAAGGCCCCACTCTCCTTGCTTTAGGTGTTCACAGCCCTTCACCACTACTTGCTGTGACAACTTGTCCCTGTTACCCAACCTGCCCATGCCCAGGTCCCTTTTCTGAAAGCAGGGATACAATGGGTGCCTACACCTCATGGGTGGTGGGGATGCTTACAGAGAACATCCATGTGGAGTACTGGGTACAGCCAGCTCCCCAACACCACTGTGGCTTGGAAGACAGTCGTTCCTGTGTCTCTCCCCTCTCTACCCTGTCTCGAGGCAGGTCTCAGACAGGCCTTTTGTTCAGTGACAGCTTCCCACCCATCTTGCCCAGCTCCATCACCTTCCATGACCCAGGATCTTCATGACAATCTGATGGGGCCAAGTGACCACTTTGGCCTTCAGCATAATGCTCATTGCATGAGCAGTCATCATCTGGACCCTGCCCATCAGGTGCCCTCCCTTTGGAGGCACCTGAAACTCCTTGGCTACACCAGGCTCTTTCCTATCTAAGGTTTTTAGGGGCTGGTCCCTCCCTCTGGAATGTTCCCTCCTCCTTCATCTGGCTAGTTCCTGGTCTTTCTACTGGAGTGGGCTTGGGAGTCTCCTCCCTCTGGGCCTCCCTCTGGGGCGGCCAGGGCACGACTGGGCCCATGGATCTGCATTGTTATTTCTAATTACTGCTTTCTTACTAGGCATCAGTATGCTCTAGCACCATGAACCAAACCAGGCAGAGTGGATGCTCAATAAATGTTTAGTGCCTAGAGAAATGGCTGATAAATGTGCCTTCCATCTGGGGTCACCACAGCACAGAAGGGTGTGGCTGAGATGCTGGCTTTGAGGTGTCCACCCTCCCTGTGGGATTGTGGGCCTCTGCTTAGGCTTTCTCAGCCTTAGCTGTCTCTTCGGTAAAATAGGAATATTCACAAGTTTCCATACTGGGCTATTTGTGAAGAGTAAATTGGATCCTTTTTTGCCTCACAGGCTACCAAGTGACCAGCTCATGGGCGCCCTGCAGACCCTGTGCACGGGATGTTAACTGATAGCCACTGACCCTTGGAGGCTGATAGAAGGTATTGCCTCCAAACCCATGAGGCACAAACTGGCTCTCTCTGGCTCCCATGGTTTCTCAGGAGTCTGGGCCAGTTCCTGGACATAAAGATTTGCAGAATGAGTGTATGGAATTTGAATGAAAAGCCCTTTTGGTCCTAGGATTGGGCCAGTGTACACTTTTGACTTGAATGCTGGGGGAGGTCAGGTTCTGGCCCAAAAGAAAAATTCAAGGACATGCTGTCAGAACCCCAACCAGGCTCCAGATTCTTGCATTTATTCAAGGACCCTATTAGCAATCAGGTGTGTGTGGGGAGGTGGGGCGGGTTGTGCTGAGTATGAGTAATGAGGGAATTGTCAGGGAGGAGGCATCTGATCATAATTCCAACATGGAATACACATAAATAAAAGAATAAAGGGGAAATAAAATCCAGTTTAAGGTTAGGGAAGGTTTTTTGAAAGAAATGACATGTGAGCTGAGCATTCGAGGACAACAGAAGCTAAGGCAGTGCCAGGGTAGGAGGGATGTGAGCATATTTTGTGTCAAAAGGAAAAGGCTTTGTGAGCTCCTGGGCCCACCTCCAGGGAAGAAAGAAACAGAGTTCTGGGGAGAGGAGTATGGCTCATGACCCCAGAGCAGGCGTGCCCAGGGCAGGCACCATGAGGCACAAACTGCAAAGGAGAGGGTCTAGCGACCATGAAGCTTGGTCTTTAAGATACAGGACCACAGAAAGGTGGAAGTTTTTCTCCCTTGCAAAGATAAATAAACACACATCTGCAATTTAGGGCTTAGAGACTGCAGGAAATTAACACCAGCCTTCATTTTCCTGCCACTCACTAAAGCACAGAATGGATGGTGAGCTGCCCACAAGAACAACGGGCTCTGTGGAGAGATGAAGAGCGCACCTCCTCCTGATAGCTGGTCCTGTAGCAGCGCTCCAGCTCCGCATCCAGGAAGTTGAGGCTGAACTGGTTAATTGGTGGCTTGAAAAAATAATCCTTCATCAGGCTAAAAGACATAACAAATGGAATTGATCAACACCTGGCACAATCATCCTATCAGATCACAATCAGCTATGAAAACACCACTCACAGAGCACATCACAAACACTGCATCTGAGAGTCACTGTGCAATAGGTGTTGCTCTGCTGTCCCCTTTAAAACTTATCTCTGGGAAGTCCTTTGTGTTCCTACCTGTAATCATATGTTCCATTTCACATCCATTAAAGAGTGACCATGGCCACAATCATAATACACATCATTAGTACCTTGCTTTTGAACATATATTCCTAATATCTCGGATTACAAGATACAAAGACAGCTTTCTTTGTCTTGTGAAAAGATCTTTTCTGAAGAGCCAGCAGATCCCTGTACTGAGAGTACTTGTATTGATTTGGAGGCTTCAAATGAAAATGTAATTCAGAACCAGCTGTCCTGTCACCCAGAGTACTGACAGTAATTATGACTATGAGAGCTAACAGGTTGTTAGCACAAAATGGTGTTGATAGTTAGTGTAATTTTGGTGCTATTGTCACATATGCAGATTGTGTGTGAAACCTGAAAGATGATAAAGCTCAATGATTTTAATAGCAGAGAAATCAAATATGCTTTACATGACTCTTTCATTTTTTTTATGAATTGCTAGCAAATAGTAAGATCCTTTTTAAACTGCAGAAAATTACTACAAATTAAAGGGAACGTTAACATGATATCAGAAGGCAAATATAGCTGTGGAGAGCAGCCTGCCTCATATAGAAACCACTAGCATGAATCAGGCGGGACACAGGAGTGCCTGGCATGTGCCTGGCACCTGGGAGGCCCTGCCGTGCAAGCCTCCCTTCCCCTGATGCAGAGGGGACCTCTCTTCTGTGAGTGTTCAATGACTTGGGCCTTTCTTAGAAGACAGCCTCTGTCCCCTGATGTGAGCTTCTCTCTCCTTCCTAACAGTCAGGAAGCACAGACAGGGACAGCAGAGCAGCTGTAAGGAGAGTTGTGGTGGCCACATTTTGACCCCTGAGGCGCAGGAGTGACCCTGCTATAAGCTGTACTGCTCCTTCTAAATCAATTCGGGAAGCTCCACCTGTGGGGATGGGTGTAGCTCATTTTGGACCAATCCCCTCAGACAACAACTACAGCTCTGGGAAAAAAATACAAAAACAGGGGCTGGGGCTGGGGCTCAGTAATAGAGCACTTGCCTAGCAAGTGTGAGGCACTGAGTTTGATCCTCAGCACCACATAAAAACAAATAAAGGCATTGTGTCTGTGACAAAAACAAAGCAAAACAACAGCAACAACAACACCACCAAAAAACAACTGCTGATAAGCACAAGAGAGGGACCAGGGCAGGTCCAGAATAGAACAAAGGAACAATACCAGGTAAATGTCTGTGTGTGTGTGTGTGTGTGTGTGTGTCCTGAAGACAGACATTAGTCAGCACCATATGTAGGGTAGCGTAACTCAGAAAAGTCACCAGTCTTACTGGCTTAAAAAAAAAAGGAAAATGAATTTTGGGGTGACCACAGTTGAAAGATGAGGTTATTAATATCAGAAGGGAGAGAATTAGGGAAAGAGATCCCCAAATTCTGTATGTAAACTGCTCAAATCTCTGGCTGATCCTTGTAGGTCATGCAGAGGCATGGCAGACTACAAGCAGCCCACTTACAGCTAAAAGAATAGGAGATGGTAGTTAAAGTTTGAATTCAGATAAGTTAACTGACTGCTGAAACAAAAAATAGATAATCTTCAGACTAATATTAACAAAAATCAGGTTTCTTAAGTTTTACACTCAAAGTCTACAACACAATCCAAAATTTTAGGCATAGAAGAAGACAGGAAAACATGGGCGCACTCAACAGGAAAGCAGTCAGGAGAAAGCAGCTCGAGGGCACGAGGCTGGGTCAAGGTGAGGGTTATAATGAATGCAAGTGGGACTGATACCTGTGACAACTACAGCGAGAGGAAGGAGAGAATGGGAACCTATAACACTGTGAGATTTTTTCATTTAAAATGAAGTGATACAATAGTAATTCTACAAAGATCACAGGCACTTAAGGAAATATATCTGTAATTCCTAGAATAACCACTAAACTGTGGTCTGGGGTGTGGCTACCACTGAGCTACAACCCCAGACCACAGTTAGAATTTTAATAGATTTCTCTAAACAACTGATAGAACGTAAGAGGGCGGGCACCAGGGACTGAAATGGAATAAACTAAATTCCAGGCATGTATGATTATGCCAAAATGAACCTGAGTATTATGTACAACCATAATGCACCAATAAAAAAACCCAGAATAATAGACAGAAAATGAATAAAGAAACAGATGATCTAAACCACTGTACTGACTACCAGGACTTAACAGACATCTGTGGGTCACAGCATCCCATGAGTACAGAGCTCACATTCTTTTGGAGTGCAATGATAAGTTCACCCATCAGATCACATGTGAGGACATAAAACATGTCCTGACCAATGTAAAAGGACTGAAATCATAGAGTATGTCCTTGAACTATAACATTAAATTAGAACTAATAGCTAATATATGTAAAAACTATTCCTCATTCAAAGGAGCCAGTGCTCCTGAGCTGGGGCGGGGAGGCAGAAAATGAGCCTGGAACACCCTGCTCTGCTAGAAAGTGACTGCCCCATAAAATGAAGGGGTGGAGTCAAAAGGACCCAGGCACCGGTCCAAAGGGAGCTCTAATTGGTCAGATCGGGATCCCAACATAAAAAGTACCAAGATGGATTATAGTCCATGAAATAAAACAGGAGTGCATGAGTTCAGGCTAACAATGGATGGATGGAGAGTGGTATGGTGGTGCATGCCTGTTATCCCAGTGATTTAGGAAGCTGAGGCAGGAAGATAGCAAGTTTGAGGCCAGTCTTAGCAAGATAATATCTCCAAAATAAAAAAACAAAAAGAGCTGAGGATGTAGCTGATTAGGGATGTAGCCCCTGAGTTCATTTCCTAGTACTGCAAAAAATAAAAAGTAAAAAATAGATGGATGGGTAGCAAAAGGAGGGCTATTCTTCATAGCAGATGCTGAGCACCAAATGGTAAACGTGCTGGAAGTGCTGAGGTTGGAAACCACCATACTGAAACATCACAGTGAAGACAGTTTCAGTCAAGACTCAATGGATGTTAAATCTAGGGAAGTCTGATAAGGAATAGGAATAATAGACACTAAAGTATCTTTCCACAGATTGCTTATTAATCATAGGGAGAAAATGATAACCACAAATTGGAGAAACTGGCTACACCTTGTGGGATTGATCAAAAGAAATATCATGCCAGGAGTGGTGGGACACGCCTATAATCCAGCAGCATGGGAGGCAGAGGCAGGAGGATCACGAGTTCAAAGCCAGCCTCAGCAACTTAGTGAGGCCCTAAGCAACTCAGCGAGACCCTGTCTCTAAATAAAAAACAAATAGGGCTGGGGAGGGCTGGGGTTGTGGCTCAGTGGTACAGCGCTTATCTAGCATGTGTGAGGTACTGGGTTTGATTCTCAGCATCACATATAAATAAACAAAGGCCCATCAATAACTAATAAAAATATTTTAAGAAAGGGCTGGGGATGTGACTCAGTGGTTAACACCCCCCTGGATTCAACCTCCAGTACCACTCACACACAAAAAGAACATCACCAATGAGGAACCAGTGGGCCGCATGGGCCTCTGCATGTGAGCCTTGGAAGGACGGTGCCACCTCTGTGCTCTCTGGCCAGGCACACAGAACATGAACCTAACCATAAGAAAATACCTCACAAGCCCAACTTCAGGAATGTTTTGTTTTTAAAGCTGTCACATCATGAAAAACAAGGCATGGCTAAGGAAGCACCCCAGATTTTAGGAGCAAAGAGGCCTGACAACTAAGTGACACAACACGTGATCCTGGACTGGAGGCAACAGGGCTGCCAAAGACGAACTGGAACCGGGGCTTCAGGTTAGATGGAATGTCACACCGTGCTGAATTCCCTGCCCTCGTCAACTCGACTGTGTACTACAGCATCCTCATTCTGGGAGTCTAAAAGAGTAAAGGACACAATGCATCCAGCGTACTGCCAAATGCTTTGGAGAAGAGTACATTTCAGAGCGGGGAAAGGGAGGACTGCAAAACTAACACAAAATGCTAAGGCAGAGCATATGGAATTCTAAACGGCGTTTGTATAACTTTTTATGTTTCAAATTACTTCAGGATAAAAACAAAGCAATATACTGATGAAGGAAGAGAAATGCATGGACGGGGCAACTCAGAACAAGGGAGCGACCTCTCCTGTAAAACCCTACCCTCTGGGTGGTGGCCACGCTTTCTCACCTGTCTTCTTTGATAACGTCCACAAAATGCGCATCTGTCTTCTCACGGATGTTCTTGAACCTCAGTGGGAGGAGGGCTGACTGGTCGAGGCTCACGCCCGCCCACCTGCCCTTCTCCTGAAGGATCTCGCACAGGGAGGTCTGGCTGTTGGTGAGCTTCTCCTCTTGGGGAGGGCTCAGAAGTCCATTCTGGGCTTTGGAATTCGGTCCTCCGGCAGCCTGCCTCAAGACAGAGGGAACAAGTGAGTGCACTTGGTGAAGTGGCGCCAGGGCGCATGCTCACCCCACCTGGCCCTTGGCTAGCTGCAGCCCTGCACCTCACTGGGTGCCTGGCAAATCTGCTGCCACCCCACACAACCTTCTGCCACCCTGCTTCCCCCGCAACACACACTCTGTCAAAGGGCATGTCCAGGTGTTCAGGCAGCAGAGGCTAAGACTGTGAGGACAGCTGTAAAGCCAAGGCAAGAACCAAGATTCAGGGACTCTGCTCACCAAGAACTGGGGTTCCAGGAGCCTGTGTGGAAGGACTGGGTGGCCTCCGAGGAGATGAAGAATGGGTATAGGGAAAGGAGTCCCAGGATTGTGGGGCTGGGGCTTAGGAGAAGCTGGACAAACAAGACTTATATTTGGGAACTTCTGTGGCTGAGAGAGGCAACTGACATGCTCACAAGTCCTTTGGTAGACGATGGAGCGTACAGGGCCTCCTAGGGGAGTGGCCTTCAGAAGGCTTCCCAAACCTCTGGGCTTTGGGATTTATCTACTTTCTACTCCAGTCCTGACCAGGTTCTTCCACAGCTCCCTGCTGCTCACCCTGCCTCTGAGCTTCTCTTGTATGGCTCTTCATCTAGCAGAGGCCCTTCTTCCCTTTGCACATCTGTATTCCACCAGAAGTTGAGTAGGCCTTCCAAGCCACCAACCTCCCGCCACACTGGCCTGCGTGTTCCCACACTCTCGCTGCCCTGAAGGGAGTCCCTTCTGGTTCAGCATGGAGTTACTCTACTTCACATGGTTAGCTCTGCTCTATTCTGTCTTTATATTGCTTGGGGTGGAAGCCGGGACTTGTCCACGCGAAGCACTCGCTCCACCACTGAGAACATCCCAGCCCCATCATCCTGTTCTTTATGTTACTCAAAACCCTCAAAACCAGAAGGTCTGGAATGCTATTACCCAAGAGGAATTATTCTCAGAATTGAGAAGTCGACAAGACAGGAGTATCACCTTAGGAGAGGTACTGGGGAGGAATTGACAGGAACAACAGGCATGAGCTTGTTACCTTGGTGCTGGTCTTAGGTTCGTCTTGACAGCCATTTTGCACAGCTGCTCCTTCTGCACCAGCTTCAGATTTGGGAACAAATGTAATTCCACATGACGGACAGGTCTACAAGAAAAACACAAGGCATGGGAACATACCCAGAAAGCACGATCATGATGTGAGACTCAAACAAGTCCACTGCTGTAATCTGCTATCATACAGATGGCTGTACCCAAATGAGAGGCTTCCTGTGCCACACTGGAGGAGCTGGAAACAAACCGACCAGGTAAAAAAGGAAACAGGAAACCTGAGCATGATGCCCGTGGCAGCACTGTCCACAACACCCAAAGAGCTGAAACTCAGACTCCTGCTGATGGCGAATGGACCAGCAAACTGGGTCTACAAACAAGGATATTGTTCTGCCATAGAAAAGAAGGAGGCACTGACATGACGACAGCAGGAAGACCCCGGAAGACACTGCGCTTGTTGAGAAAGCCCGACCAAAGAGGCCATCCCGTCCTATGAGAAGCCCAGAAAGGAGGATCTACAGAGACGGAGAGCAGACCATGGCCGCCAGGGGTAGGGGAGAGGCCAGGAGAGGACTGCTGACACGGACTCTGCTGAGGCTGAATGCTCCGGTGCCCTCAGCCACGATTCACATGCTGAAATCCTGATCCCCAAGGTGACAGCGGCGTGAGGAGGCAGGGCCCTCTGGAGGTGACTGGGCCCTGAGGGGAGAGCCCTCACCAATGGAATTAGTGCCCTCATAAACTTCCTGATCACTTCTACTGGACCGAAGCTTATCTGTGAGTCAGGAAGCAGGTCCTCATTGGACACTGAATTTGCTGGCACCTTGATCTTGGATTTCCAGCCTCTAAAACTGAGGGAAACAAATCACTGTTCTTTTTTTCTTTTTTTTTTTTAATGCCACCTGGTTGATTTTTTTTTATTATAGCAGCTAAATTTTTTTGTTAGGGTTTGAGAACCTAATCTGAACCAAACCCTCTGGATTCAGAGACTTCAACCAATCTCCTCAAGACAGCAAACCAGTAAACAGCTATTTCTCTGACCACTTTGACACATGCAGACATCAGCCATTGGTTGAAGGCACTGGCTCTGGAGTTACACTGCCACAGACTGAACCTTCTTCATACCACCTTATAGATATGGGATTTCTCTGAACTTCAGTTTCCTCATCTGTAAATTGGGGTACATCTACCTCAAGGAATTATTTTAAGTGAGAAAAAACCAAGGAATTACATGTAAAGCAAGTCAGAGGTGTTTCAAAAGCAGCTTCATTTTGTACCCCAGCTCTACTCACACGGTACGGACTTCACAGAATGCTGAGTCAAGAAGGATTATGAGGCCACATCCTGGCCCAGTAGGGAGAACTGACTCATGGTACTGTGTGCTGTGGGCAGGGGTTGGACAAGAGAGGACATGGGTGGTGGTAGCAGGAGAACCAGCTGCAGATGCAGACTAGGGGCCATCTTGGCAGGGCTGCCCCAGGCGGGAACCAGCAGATCATCTCATTACACTTGAAAAATGTGGCTCTTTGCTATTCTCTTTCTTTCTTAGCTCCTATCCTGGCAGGGGCATAGTAGGGAGGGAGGGTACAATTCTTTTTTGTTGTTGTTGTTGTACTGGGTATTGAATGAACCCAGGGGCACTTACCCACTGAGCTACATCTATAGCTCTCTTTTGTATTTTACTTAGAGACAGGGTCTTCATTAAGTTGCTTAGGGTGTCACTAAATTGCTGAGGCTGGCTTTGAACCAGCAATCCTTCTGCCTCAGCTTCCTGAGCCACTGGGATTATAGGCGTGCACCACAATGTCCAGTGTGAGTGTGATTCTTTCTTCAAACTTTAAAACAAAACAAAAAAGGAGAAATCCACCATCCCTGGTGGAGACACAATCTCTCCTAGTTGGAAGCAAGAAGCTCCTTCTGCACTAGGAGGGTCCTGCCACACAATGGGGGCCTCAGCAATTTAGTGGGTTGGGTTTGTTTCCTTCCCCATGGCCCCCACCTTAGCAATTTCCCTTTTAACTATTTTCCAGTTTAATTTTGATCTGGATTAAAACATCTTACAACCTGTTTTTTTTTTTTTTTTTTTTTGCTAAGCACTGACCCTCCTGTGAAACTTCCCAACCCATTGAAGGTCTTTCCATCTCCCTTGTTGCTGCCAGCATCCCATCCCTGCCCAGAAGCACTCACTGGCAAGAGGATTCCTGCAGCAGTGAACCACATGGCACAGCCACCTCGGGGGAATGGTTCCAGGAGAGCACATGGGCAGGGGAGCTAGATGACAGCCACTGCTGTACTAACCCCAGCTGCTATGGCTGAGACTCGTTTGTGATCAGCCCAGGGTGAGCAAAAACGGACCTTCTGAGACACAAGGGCACCTCAACACACTCTAGGGCTCCTGGCCCCTGACCACCAGGAGGCTTCCCTCTAGCCTCCCTTCATGGCAGAAGGAGGGCCCAGGAATAATCCTGGCACTTCCACCTCCTAGACCTTGATCCCTGAAATGAACCAAGCTGCCTTGACTGTCTTTCTTATTCTTCTAAGTAGTTGTATAGGCACAATGACAACAAGAGAAGCTTCTAAGGTCCCCCCAAACAGGGTCTTCTGCAGTCCACAGAGCTTGCTGGTTGCTGCCTGGGAAACCTGGGAGTCCTTGGAAAGATCATAGAGAGTACACTGGTTATCCTAATCAGGGCCTCTCACCTCCTTCATGGCTTGGGCTCTGAGGCGATGACTGTAATGATTTCTCCAACATGTGGGGACACATTTGCATCACTCCCACCCCCATCAGCAAGCTCTTCTTTATTCAGCAGCAGTCAATTGGTCAAATACCTGGCATGGCTCATTTTCAGTTCTTTTTGTTTTTAACACATTTTAATACATGTACCCTGCATCCCAGAATGTATGGCATCAAGCTATAAAAGTGTTCTCTTCAAGGCTATTTCATGTGGTGAGGTAAATAATTTTGAAGCCAACAGCTGTCCCTTTTCATAACTGTCAAGGATGGAGCAGGGAAGCCTCTTTGCTGAAGGAATCATCAGTGAAGTCCTCCCTTCATCTATTCAGGATGCGAAGCAAGATGGGCTACAAGAAGTTCGGGTACTAGAAAAAGCACCCTTTGTATCCAAACTCAAGTTGGACGTGGTGGGCAGAATAATAGCAGCATTGTGACAACAATAACAACAAATACAAGTCCCTGAGTGCCACTCGAAGCTTTTCAAAACAGTTTACTTAGTCCTCAGAAGAACCCATGAGGCGGGCACTATGATCAATCCCATTTTACACAGGAGGCAATTAAGGCTAAGAAGACAGGGCCACCCAGAGTCACACCACCAGAAAAAGAGCAGGGAGTGAGAGCCGAGGCAGCAGAGCTCTCGGTTGCAACCACCACCCATGCCATGCCTAACTATGCCACTGGTGGGCCAGGGCACTGTCATTTCAGCAAATGGATTAAGTACAGGTGCGAACACTTCAAAACCAATGATTTCTGCTAACAAAATACTAGAGGAAAAAAAAAAAACAGAAATAGTAATTATCTCAGAAAAAAAGGCATCCCAGAAGCCTCGAAGCTGTAAGAAAAGAAAATGGCAGCCTGTGAATGCTGGAGGCAAAATAGACACACATCTGTAAAACTTAACCCAGGATCTCCAAGCCATGTTGCACAGAATCGAGAACCCTGAACTTCTCATCCCACTCCTCAGCCCTACATGACCACTGGGCTCAATAACTGAGGCTGGTAACAAAAATGCAAGTCAATAACATGTTAGGTTAGATTCAGCAGACTGTAAACCAAGAAGATTGTTACTGTGCTGTGGCAATATTATTCCATCAGAAAGCCAAAATAAAAATATTTGGTATTTTGGGATACACACAAGATTTCACTTGTGTGTAGCGTGCACTACTGGATGGTGCCATTAGATGGCACTGCACAGACCTTCCATTCAATTCACACACATGGTCCCTTTAAAAAGTAATTCTTGACTCCAAGAGAATTACTTGGGAATGCCCTTCACTGCATAGAACCATGGTAGAGTTATCAAAATTAAGACGCAGAAACACTGCACAATGCTATTAACTGAGCTACTGACTTCTTTCAAGTGTCCCAGTTTCCCTCTAATGCACATTTCTGTCCTTGGAGGCTGCCCATGGTCCTAAGACACATTTAGTTCTCATGCCTCCTGAGTCTCCTCCAGCATGTGCAGCCCCTCCATCTGTTTCTGTCTCCTGTGATCTTGATACTTCTGTAGCATCTTGGTTGTGTTCTGCAGAATGTCCTTGGATTTGGATCTGCCTGATGCTTTCTCACCAGCAGCTGAGGTTTGGGGCTTCAAGCAGGCCTGCAAAAGGGGAGGTGGTCTTCCCAGCACACTGTGTCAGGCAAGTGTGGTTTTAGTAAGTCTCATCAAGTGTAGCTCCCCTTGCTGCCAGTATAGGGGCTCCGTAGGCCTGTCCTTGGTAAAGGCAGGAGTCTTTTCTTCAGGGGAACATGCCTGGAGGCTAAGCAAATCTCCTTTCCTTCTTAAACTTCTGCCCACTGATTTCAGAGTTTCTGGATGCAGCAGTTTCTCCTGTGGTGTCTGAAGGGTGATTTTCTATCACTTTCATTCCTTCTACATCCATGACCTATAATTCTTCTGTGAGCAAGTATTGTCAATTTATATTTTATATGATTTCTCCTTGCTGAGTAGAACACACATGATTAAAGCTATAGATAAAACCTGGAGATTCTTTTTTTAAAAAAAAAATAGAGAGAGAGAGAAAGAATTTTTTAATATTTATTATTTTTAGTTTTTGGTGGACACAACATCTTTATTTTATTTGTATGTGGTGCTGAGGATCAAACTCAGCGCCCCACGCATACCAGGCGAGCTTGAGCCACATCCCCAGCCCCTGGAGATTCTTTTTTAAAAACTTACTTTTCAGCGGGCATGAAGGTAAACACCTGTAATTCCACTGACTCAGGAGACTGAGGCAAGAGAATCGCAAGCTGAAGGCCAGCCTTAGCAATTTATCAAGACCCAAAGCAACTTACTGAGACTCTATCTCAAAATAAAAACTAAAAAGGGCTGGGATGTGGCTCAGTGATTAAGCACCCCTGGG